GCTGGGGCGGGGCGGGCCCGGGGGAGCCGCGGGGGGGTGGCAGGGACATGGGGGGCACCGGTGAGACGGGGACATTGGGGCAATGGGGGTACCTGGGCATGGGGAGGGCTTTTGGGTGCCCCACCGTGTGTGCCACCCCCATGCCCTGCATGCTGTACTGTCCCCATGCCGTGCCACCTCCGTGCCATTCCCGCACCCCCGTCCCCGAGCCCACGGGAGTGTCATGCCGACGCCGCGGTGCCCGTGCGGTGCCAGGCACGCGCTGGACATCCGAGAGCACTACGAGCGCAAGCTGGAGCGGGCCAACAACCTCTACATGGAGCTCAGTGCCCTCATGCTGCAGCTGGAGCTCAAGGAGAAGGAGCTGCTCAGGTGAGCAAGTGCCTGCAGGTACCCCCGGGCCCACCTGTGAGCACCCCATAACCACCATGAATCCACCTCACGTCCAACACGGGCCCTTGGCCACCCCACAGCCACCCTGTGCCTATGCCAACCCCATGTCCATGCCATGAGCACCTTGTAACCACGACGACCCCACCCCATGTCCAACCTGGGCCCTTGGCCACCCCACAGTCACTCTGTGCCCATGCCAACCTCGTATCCATGCCATGAGCGACCCATAACTGCCATGATCCCACCCCCCATCCAACCTGGGTCCTTGGCCACCCTACGTCCATGCCAACGCCATGCTCATGCCATGAGTACCTTGTAACCACCACAAACCCACCCACCTGTGGGCGGTGGATGGACACACCCAACCTGTGTCCATACCAAAGCCATGCCCATACCATAAACACCCCATAACCACCACAGTCCGACCCCATGTCCAACCTGTGCTCATGCCAAAGCCATGTCCATGTCATAACCATGTCCATGCCATGAGCCCCCATAACCACCATGAACCCACTCCATGCCAACTCCCAAACCCACCCTGAGCCTCTTCTGTGTCTATGCTCACCCTATAAACACCCCATAACCAGCACGAACCCACCCCACAGCCACCCCACGCAACCTCCGTACACCCTTGTCGCATTTCCATGCTCACCCTTTGCCCTTGGCGACCCTATGCCAATGCCATGCCCGCCGCGTGTCCATGTGAACCCCATGCCCCATGCCATGAGCACCCTGTAACCACCCCGAAGTGACCCCATGTCCAACGTGGGCCCTTGGCCACCCTGTACCTACCCCATGGCCACCCCATAACCCCTGTCCCCATGTCCATGCCCACTCTTTGCCCTTGGCGACCCAGTGCCAACCCTGCTCCCCATGCCAGGAGCCCCCTGTAACCACCCCGAAGTGACCCCATGTCCAACGTGGGCCCTTGGCCACCCTGTACCTACCCCATGGCCACCCCATAACCCCTGTCCCCATGTCCTGGCCACCCCATAACCCCTGTCCCCATGTCCATGCCCACTCTTTGCCCTTGGCGACCCAGTGCCAACCCTGCGCCCACCCCATGAGCATCCTGTAACCACCATGATCCCACCCCGTGTCCAACCTGGGCCCATGCCCGTGTCCCCTCCCGATGCGGCGTGCCAGTGCCCACGTGTGTCCCACACCGTGCAGGCGGGAGCAGGCACTGGAGAAGCGCTACCCCGGGCTCTTCAAGCCACGGGCACCGCGGGGGCTCCTACACGGCAACGCCGTCGAGACCCTCATCAAGAAGCGCAACGTGCCCCAGAAGCTCTCGCCCCATGGCAAGCGGTGCGCCTGGATGCCTGGGTCCATTACAGGGGTGGGGGG